TTACTATTTTATTCTTTTTAAAAACAGCTTTGGTTCATGTTGTTTTTTTAATAAGAATGCTCCAAGAGAATCTGAAAGCATCATAAATTTTAAGTCTCACTAGGTAAGGTATTCACATAGAAGATGGATTCTAGTGCTGTGTGGGGTAAATTGATGGGGTTTGGTTATAAAAAGATGGAGCAGGAAGGAGAGGAACAAAGAAACATGAGAACCAACACACCTCAGTGACAAATGATAGATTCTTACTTTCATTTATTGGTTTTAAAATCATGTAATATGCAAGCAAGCTGGTGTCTTTTCCCCAGGCAGGGGAGACTTTGGGACTGCTGTGGTAAGCTGTGGCATACGTGACTGATATGCAGAGGCCGGGGCTCCCGAAGTGAGGCCTTTACCCAAGGGGTTGAGAGACCACATACAGTGTCTGGGGCATGTTACCTGCGTCGGGACAGAGTCTGTGAAGGCCGGCACAGCAGCCAGGTGCTGCCTGGCTGGGGAAAGACCAAGGGTGCAGCTTCGTGCCCTGCTTAGGACCTTCCAAGGCAGCAGCACTGGTGATCCTTTGATGTCGTCTTGCTGAAACCACTGCAGAGAGCAGTCATGGCAGAGCTACCATCCACCTGCAGACCGTTTAGGAGAGGGCAGGCTTTCTTTCAGTAGCAATCTGGGCGTGAATTGTTGGAAACAGACTGTGCACCCACAGTGTGGGAAGAGTGTGTGTGTCCAGTTCCCCTCCCATGGGCTTTTTGTGCCAGACTCCGAGCAACCGTTGTACCAGAGCATTTCTCTTGTCTCCTTGCTTCTTTTTAGGACAGAAGAGTCTACCTTGCACTTTTTCATGTTATCGGGGTGAAGGTAGAAACCAAATCCTCGGTAGGCATGCTACTACGACCTTTTAGCAGTGGGTATTCAGTGTGCTTAGATGCCACAGCCAGCCTCTGGAGGACAAGGACTTTTGAGGCAGGAGCCCTTAATTGAGTCAGCTTGTGTTTGTAGTTACAAATTTTGCATTTGTGACTTTGTAACTTCATTGCAAATATTGACTCACTGCATGAAACCTGTCCGGATTTTCACCCCTTGTAAAGAGTTACGGAATGGTTACTGTTTGGTTGCATTACCTTTTGCCAGGTGCTTTCCGAAGCAACCCATATTTTAAATAGTCCTCCATCTTGATTGTGAAGCATAGTGAGTCACACCATGGGTGGTGACTCACTGATACCCGTTAAACATTAGGATCCTTAAGGTGTGACTCCTTAAGCTTGGACTAAAAAAAATGCTGTCACAACATGAAAAAAACCCCACTTGCAATATATTACACATCTGCATAGGTGGCAAATTCTCTACAATGTACCTTTTCCACCAGTATATTTTATATGCAGTTATTTTTGTTTTGGCATAACAATACAGTCCTTTTTCTTTAGCAAGTCATTTTTCTGATCTCTTGTATTAGGATGATGGATGGAGGACAGAAAGACAGGGGCACACAGAGAAATCCCAGGGAAAGTTTAGCAGCGTCCTTCTTTTAGGCTTGGCGCTGTTAACTCCTGAGTGGGACACCAGGGAATTCAGCCAGAGCAGTTAGGGGATTTTAATGGTCTCCTGCTTGTAACAGATTAAACTACCTCTTGCAAGAGGTGGTAGAGGATTACTGTCCAGTCTCCAGCCAAAACAACCTCCCAGTGCAGATTTACTTGGAGTGCCAGTTGAACTGCCAGTCATCAGCACTGCCCACCCCAGTGTTTTGTTCTGCAGGGACATGGAAACCCGTCACTCCTTTCTTTGTGGAGCAAACCTGAGTGTCATCTTTGCAGAATGAAACTCCCAGCACTTGGAGCAGGACCTGCCCGTGGCTCTGGGCACAGCCGTGCCACGTGGGCACATGACAAATAAGTTCTGCTCTGCTGAGCCCAGGTGTATATAAGGGGAGAGCCAGCACTATTGCTGTGTAATAGTTCCTGCTTTATTTATAGCTCTTCAAAGCTGAGGTTTTTCCATGTAGATGGGAAGGGGCAACACAGGTCTCTGGCAAAATTTCTGCACTTTCAGCATGATGAAACCTTACTGGTTTGCTCTGCTGCTGTGTTAAGATGGGTAGGGACGATATGCTAGCTATTAAATATGTATTTTGTCCTATTAATGTCATCTTTATCTGAGGCTGCTTTTGACTGTAGCATCCATTTTTCTTCTGTCTTCTCTCCTTATTCGTCTCTCTTTGCAAGTTGAATGCCCTGGTGGCACCTACCACTGTCGTGCCAAATTTATTTTGGGTAACTGCTTCATGGTGACCTCTCTGTGGTTTGTGACAGCTGCCAGAGGAGAAACCAGGATATACTTGAGCTCTTAGTACAGAGCGAGTAATTTGGGGTCATGGCAGATTCTCTGAAATTTTTTGTTAAAGCAACTGTTGATATATTTCACCATTTCCCAATTTACAAGTTTGGAGGGTTTTGCAGAGGGAGAGGTTTCAGGAAGGTCAGGGGCTGCCTGGTCTGCTAGCACCCGCATTAGACTGCCCGTGTGGGCTTGGGGGATCAGCTCTGATTTCTGCTAGCCTGCAGAGCGAGTGCTTAACCAAGGGCAGGGAAGGGCCAGATGCAGGGTTTGCAAGGAAATAAGTGTTTTTATTGTCAGAGCAGCTGGGGAGTTGGACAATAGCCTTAAAAACAAACAAACAAAGGATGACTTGCAGATAAGTTATCGAGAGGAGTGGGTGTGTTTTGGGCACCACTGAAGGACAAGCTGATACATTGACTTTTCTTCTGCTTTTAAACTCTTACTTTGTGTGCCAGTGTGCCAGAGGGGTTTGACGTCTCTTGTCCTGGCCTGAAATTAAACAACAGTCCTTCATGAGATTTTGGCTCTTCCAAACATGAGCCTTTACCTGTGTGTAATCTGGTACTGCACATTCTCTGCCATGGGCTTGTGTGAGGGCCAGCTATCTTTGGCTAGCAATAGTAAGCTTTGAGAAGGGAAAGACACTAGGGTATCTCCTTTTTCTTTTTGCACTTGGAGGACACTACTGTTCCTCTGACATCAATAAATCTAAAAATTAATTATTTGATTTTAAAATGTATGCTTGTATAAATGACTGTCTTTAATAAATTGAATTTGTTCTCTACAAACAAAAATGATTTTTCATTTTTAAGTACCATATACACCTTCTGGATTGTGAAAATGAAGCTGGAGCATTTTAAAGCCTGCCTGGAGCTCAGATATATATCCTGAATTTTGTTTTGTTTTCAGCTTGTCTGGGCAGATATTTTTATTTGCTAGCTGGAGATTGGTTCTAGAGTTGCAAGTATTAGTAATTGCATTTCCTCCACTTGCTCCTGAAAAGTCAAGGGTTTTGGAGAGCAATTCTCACTGCCTTGCTGAGCTGTTTGCTGCAAATAATTCATAGCTATTTGGTGGAAAAAAATCCTTGCTCATGCTACTTGCTTATGGTTCTTTAGTGCCTTCACTCTGTAGGGTGGAAGATTACACGTATATGTCCCAACTTGTACAGATCAGTGCAGTGGAGAACTCAAAAATACATTTCACTTAAACAAAAAGCCTGATCCTGAAAGGTGGCACGTTTGTTTTGGCCACAAAATTGTTATACCTCTTGGTGACATGGTATATTGTAGTGAGGACATCTCTGATGTTGAACTAGAGGGCCGAGTCTTGCCTTATTTGTGGAAGGGCTGTGCGTCATGGAAATGTGCAGTGCACCTAATTGAACTGTTTTGAGGGAAGCTCTTTTTGAAGTTGCATCTAACTTTTAAAAATAAATTGCATACTTCTACTTTGTGTTTTTGGCTATGAAACTTCAGTTCATGGTGTCAGGAGGGCTGCTACACAAACAGCCATTTATTCTGCAAAGTTTCAGTTCTAGAGTATCTGACTCTCCAAAGTTAGCTGTACTTATTTGTCATGAAACGTGTATGACTCCCATTACCATCAATATTTGAGCGCCTCACAAACCACAAACAAACATATCTTCTTATATTTATTCAAGAGTATAATAGTAAGTATCCACACTTTACACATAAGAGAGATTAAGTTACATCTCTGAGGGCAATGAAGTTGTTGGGCTAAAGCCAGGAATGCAGTCTGGTTCTTCTGGTTTCCTCTGCCTAGAAGGAAAATGTCTTGGAGTTTAGGGAAACCTCACTAGAAACCTTGTTTTTCCTATCTTTCTCATGGGAATGAGGCAGTACCCTAATGACAAATTGCCTGAAATGGTTCATTTCCCCTTCCTTTGGACAGAAAGGTTAATTTCAGTTTTAGGCATAGCTTTATTGTGGAGGTTCAGAACCTGTCTGGTCTCTGAGCTATGAAATGTCACTGTGGGGGCTCTCATCCCAAGAAGTTGCATGGCTGTGCTGGGATCTCCAGCTGCCCTGTCTGGCTCCATGCCAGGACTTGTCTTGACAAGCTGTGCCTTTATTTAGTCTTCATCCCCCTTCCACCACCTGGGGAAATCAAGATGCTTTTCTGAAAACAAAAGCATCTTGACACTGTGAGAGCCTGAAGCTAATGGCCATCGGGGTCTGTGGCAAAGCAGCTGTTTTTCCCTATGTTTCCAAGCAGCCCTGAGGATATCAGCTGGAGCACTTGCTCTTAAATTGTCAGGCTTACTGCTGGTGGGCTTCATGGGGCTCTAATAATGGGTGTCTGGGGCTGCGATGACAGTGAGATGCTTCAGCTGCAGCAGTATTGCCAATGTTAGATGGAGATATCCCCTTAGGCTAAACTCGTGTGACCTGGAGAAGGGGAGACTTAAGTGTTGGATATTGTCATCTTACAATTAAGGGTCTGATAAAACTCACTGAAGTAAATGAGTCTTTAATTTGCTTCTTGAGGTCTTGGATTTGACTGGAGGAGGAAAGCTTTCCTCTGCTGTTTCCTTGCACTTGTGTTAGGACTGACATTTGGAAGAAGCTCTGCACTGATATTACTATGTTAAAACACATCTGAGAAACTAATTTATTTCAGTTTATCTGTCTCTTTTTTTCTTCCAGTGGGATCTTGTTTGTGATTCTGCCTGGAAAGTCCACATTGCTAAATTTTCCTTACTTGTAGGATTAATCTTCGGCCACTTAATAACAGGATGTATAGCTGACTGGTAAGTGAAAAATTCTTTAATGCAATGTAACTACAAATAAGTAACAGTATAAAATATTGTTTTGATTGTCTTCTACTTTATATTCATGAAGAACCTTTGCGTAATGATTTCTCAGGTTCTGAAAGAACCATGATGGACAAACAGTTTAAAACTGTTTTAGTTGTTTGAGCCTGAGTAATTTATATCAAGGTAAATAACACAGACTCTTCTCTATTTGGCTTAGCTATTTCCTGCTGACACAACTTATTACAGCTGTAAAGCTAGTACAGAATTGAGTATTTTCTAATTATACAAGTGAAGCCATTAGTTTAGGGTTTTCTTTTGCTTAAATAAGGGCCAAAAGAAATTGGAAGCGGCATTGATTTCACTGAATACATGACTAATGTAATGTCAGCCTTGTGCTTACACGGTATCTTTCGGTGAGTTGAAGGCTGTCTTTTGCAAACCTTTCCCTTGTTCTTCTTTTGAAGTTCTTATTAAGCAAACATTTCGATGTAGTGTTAAGGATTTGCTGACTAATGTCATGCTAGTATTGGGGTATGAAACTTAAAAGAGTAGATTGCAATTCTTTAAATTGCTGTAGTTAAAGGCGTTATTGGATACCCCAATTATGCTGAGGATTCAGCTTTTATTTTAAAAAATGGTCTTAAAGTGTAGAAGAGGGGAAAGAAAAATTAAAGGGATGAATCAAGTGATTTCAGTGGAAACTTGCAGCATCTGAAACAATAGCTCTATGATGCTGTCCCAGTCATTTCAGTGGCTTCTAGCACAGTTGCCAATGTTGGTGCTTTAAATGGCCCCAAGTTAACTCTTTTGCCATTAACTAGAACAGGAAAGGAAGAAGAGTTGCCTATTAGGGAAATCTTATAAAGCCTCAGCAAATCACCAGTCAGCTGGGAGAGAAAAGGCCCCCTGCAGCTGTGCAGTAATTTGGATCAAGCATTCCTAGTGAAATTGCATCTTAATTCTTGAATAGTCGCTGAAAGTTCTTGGGCAAGCAAGGAATCATGACTTTTCAGTGAAGTAGGGAACATGCATGAAATACAGTTGAATTTGATTAAAATACCACAGTAAAATGGGGCTCTAAAAAGTCACGGGAAGTATAGAGGGGAAATGAATGAGGGATCTTGCTTGGCTTTCCTAAAAAGGAATCAGTGTGGAGAAAGCAGACTTATTACCAAGTTAGGAAAGTGGTGCTATAATTGACAAATAAGCCACAAATAAGTGAACAACTTGTTGCCTAAGGCACTAGCTTTGAGAGAGAATTGCAGTAAGCAGGTTTAATAGCTCTCTGCCACCAAAAGGAGCATTCTGTGCTTCCATCCATTTCTGTCCCCAGTGTGTACTTTGTGCTGCCACATGCAGCACCCCTCTGCAAGCTGCTTAGCTGAGCTAATGCAGCATAAAATTACCCTAATTTTAAAATACCTAGAAATGTGTAGTGAGTTTATGAGAATCTGGCTTCCAGCTGTGGTGCAAAGGAGAAAAAGGGTAATTTGGTGGCTGGAGGGAACAGTGACCCTTTTGTGGGTGACCAGAATGGACATGGTTTGCTGCCACCGAAGCTAGTCTTCACACTCCTGTTTAGTGCCTGTTGCCAGCTGATGTACCTAACCCAGTAGGGCTTCCGTGCTGGATACTCTTTTTGTCATTTAGCAGTAGCATTTGGAGGCTGGTAAAAGAACACCTAAATGGAATATACTTTGCTGTTTAATCACAGCTTCAATTTCTGCAAAGCTGGGGAGTTGTGTGGAGAGATGGATACAAAGGGAATTGTGTGGATTGTACCTGTATAAAGAGAAAATTAAGTAAAAAAAGGATGTCAGTCCCAAGCAAGAGCAGGGGAGATTAAACAGAGTAATGTATGAGAAGTGTTAAAAAATATCAAAATCTGTTTTCATTTCACTTATATACCTCTCTCCAGTTTAGATAATTAGAAGATGCTTTGGGTTTTTTTAACCATTAAGGGCTTTGCTTTTCCTTTTTGAAAGAAGGTTTTAAAGGTGTACAAGGCAAAGGCATAAAGTGTATTAAGGCAATTTGCTAAGTAAACTGAGTGCTCTCTGTTCAAAATACAGTTGGTGTGCATGCTGGGATAGCTCTGTGTGGAAAATCTATAGGAGGAAAGTCTGCAAACATGCTCAGATGTGTGAAGACCGACTGTGTCCAGCGCCTGAATAAGTTACTTGTTCCACAAGCAAAGTGCTGCTGGCAATTTCGCCAGCTCCAGACTGAGGTTTGTGTGGAAGGCTTCCTTCTGGAGCAGGTGGGCTTGGTGTTCATGTAGCATCAAGACAGTAGGTCGGTGTCTCTCACTGTCCTGTAGTGCCCCTGCTTTGCACCTGCTCTGATGCTTTTTGGAGCCTTTATGTCAGTTCAAGTCCTAAAACCAAGAGAGAGCCTGCAAAGAATGTCATGGGAAGAGCAATTTGATCAGCTGCAACAGCAAGGTACATGCGTAGGAGCATGAGAAGAACAGGTCTTGTCCTCAGACCATTCACTCTTCCCCTGTGGTGCAACTCTGACATTAGGAATATCTTTTTGATGTATTTGCTTATCACACTGTGTGGGTTGCAGATTCTTCAAAAGCCTGGGGTTGCTTGTATCCCTAGTTATTTACCTGTGCAGGCAGCATTTAGCATTTGATCTAGATAATAGCATGCAGTGTAGGCTGAGACTTCTGTGATACAGAAATCTCTCTCTGGAACAGTTTGGATGGCAGCAGATAGCATCCTGGGGCTGTTTTACCAGCGAAATTGTGTATGGTTTAATTTCTCACAAGCATTTCCATGTACTGTTAGATAATTCTGTCTGCATATAAAAGGCTTTTTTTATGCTCTAAGACACCATCCTGTCAAAACACTGCTGGATCACCAAATATATGGCTGATAGCTGCCCTGGAGCTTTGTTTTTTGAGAAGTGTGCTGCATTTTGTGGTGAAGAACACTAGTTTTGTGTTTGTGAGGACATGCCTTCTACCAGAGGGCTTACCTGGCCTCAGTTGGCTTTCACAGGCCCAGGAGGCCCTTCTGTTTACTGATTTTTTCATTACCAGCAACCATTCATTTGCATAACTGGTATAATGGTAGAAGAAATTCTGTGTCCTGATAATGGATAACCTCAAGTACAGAGGATGGGAGAAGGGGAAGAAGGGAACTGAAGTATGCTAAGCATGAGGTCTTTTTCAATCAACATCAGGGAATGGCAGGTCAGGCTTGTGATGAGAATTAAGTTCCTAATTCTGAGGGTTTGCATAATGCCTTTCATCTGCAAAACACTTCCACAAATACTAATTGGTATGAATTACAGCTTGGCATAACAAAAATGGGGCTGCAAAAGTCTGTGCAGATTGCTGATAACGCAAAGTTCATTGGCTTTTTTCTGTATTCAGGGTTTCATGTGAGGTACTTCCCTTCCCTGCCCAAGTGCTTTGTGTTCTGTAAATATAAAATCTGAAGCACACACAGCAGTAACTGCCCCCGTGTCCAGCATGTCCCCAGTGCATTCCACATCACCAATCCAGTGATGTTATGTTCCCACCCTCAGCTCAACAGCAGCTCATCTTCTGGTGGGCTGGGCTTGTACGCTGATGGAAAGCAGCCTGCTCTGACCATGCTGTCTTGAGTTTGCACATTGGTTCTGTTTTAAAACATTTTTCTTTTTTAAAAACTTTGAACGGCTAATGCCAACAATTTAAATCTTTGAGGTGCCCCACAGGTGATGCTACAGCTAAAAATTATAGTAAGCCTGTTTTCATGCAAGGAGCAATGACATCACTTTCTTAGGTGTGACTTTGAAAAAGCCTGAATGATGACTGGTGCACTCTTCCAGTTCCCAAAAATGTAAAAACTATACCGATGTCTCCTTTTTAGCCCTTCTCTCCCTATTTTATGGATCTTGTCCATTTTAAGTAATGCAAACCCCAAAGTTCTAATTGTGAATGCATATATATATAATGTATTTAATAACTGCTGGTAACAATCTACTGAAATAATTGAATAGAAATGCTACAGTATGTGAAACTGGACTAAGTTGTGAGGTTTAAATGCTCTTTATTGTGCTGACATTCAACCTGATGGCTGGCTTGCAGCTGACAGACTGCTTTGAATGGGTCTATGAAAGCTGCCTACGAAAAGCAAGTTCATGTATTCTTTGTGGAAATGGCATATGGAGCTGACTAAAAGGGATCCTCAGTTCCACTGGAAAACTTGTGGGAGTTGACAAGTTGAAAAAAATTTGGAAACCTCCACATAATGATCCAATTCTTGCTTAAAAATAGCCATGTGCTCTGGTGCTTCATATCATTCTCCTTGCACAGGAAGAGAGGGGGAGAAGGGGAAATTATAAACACTAAGCATATGAGTAAGAGATGTAAAAATCTCATGTTCCTTGAACATAAAAGAGCTAAACTCTGGAGCGACTGCCCCCACATTCAGTGGCAGCATAATTCTTCCTCCTTGTCAGCACTGCACCAACACATGCAATTAGAGGTTACAGCTGCAAAGGAGGGCTGCAAGTCCTTGTGCCCCTGTTGCCTGAAATGATTTTTGGAGTGGTTTATTCCTCACCTTCCAGTCAGGCTGGTTTTGTGGGTCTCTGCAGCTGCTGTGGGGATACCAGGTGGAGGAACTTGAAGCTCACAGTTTTCTTGTGAGTGTTACTTTCAGCTCTCTGAGGCTCAGCGAAGTGACATGAGTCCTGTTTTGTGCTCGGTCCATGTTTGTTAGGCTTACCCTCAACAATGAGACCAAGAAAAGTAGGTTTTTTTGAGCCACCTGCACTTGCAGATGAGGCTGAGAAGCACATGTCTGTTGGGAAGAGGAGGCCCCTGCAGCTAATAATGTACTATGCCATATAGCATATAATACCATATACTCTCCCATGCTACTACAGAAAACTCTGAGGAGTTGCTTTTCATCTCCAAGGAACTTATTTATGGCTTTGTGATAGTTCCTAGATGTTTCCTTGTTTATCTTTGGTGTTTTGAAAATGCTGGTTAAATCAAGCGGTAATACAGTGTGCTGTCTCTGCTTAATCCCGTTTGAAATGAACTTGTCAATGCAAAGCTGGCAGAGAAATCTGGGGTTTAGTAAGCAAAAAAAAAATTGGAAGACTGAAACAAGCATTAAAAATTGATGGCAATGTTTGGAAGGGATTGTATGACTTATTCCCTTCTTTGCCAGTTTTAATGATCTAGCATTATGTCCTTCCTGGCTTTTAACTGTTTCTCCATACTTCCTTATTTTTAGGGTTGGTCGACGGCCTGTACTGCTCTTCTCTGTCATATTCATTTTGATATTTGGACTGACTGTGGCACTCTCAGTGAATGTGACCATGTTCAGCACACTCAGGTTTTTCGAGGGATTTTGCCTGGCTGGAATAGTCCTCTCCCTGTATGCACTGCGTGAGTATACCTTTATCACCCATACAAATGTAACTTTATCCAATAAGTGGTTTGCTGTTCTCTGGCTTCCCACTTTTGTTCAAACAGATCAAACCAGGATCGTATGGACTGAAAAAGCTTTAGCCTGAGTTTTGGTAAAGAGGTAGGGATTTTGCAGCTTTCTCCTTAGGTTGCTACGGAGCAGTCTGTGAAGCTGTCTCAGAGCTCATTTTAAAAGAGTTATAAAAATGGTTTGGGTTTGGCTGTTGTTATTTAAACCTAGAAGTTATCCGTGTCATAGCCATAATGTGTAAGGGGAGTAGATTTCACCTTGCAGTATTGAGCTCAGTAGGAGACTTGCCACTTTTACTATCTCTAGCAGTATGTACTCTGGCACGTTTTCAGAATTTCCTCTGTTATTTGGAGCAAGATATCCTGTGTCCCTGCCTCAGGATTGTAAAGTTACAGCAAAAATATGTGAGAAGTGCCTGAAGACCTTTTATCAACTTCTTGTTGTTGTTTCTGTCTGTTTCACGGGAGGGGGGGGGGGGGGAATATCTGAGAGAAACTTGAGGAAAAGCTTGTAAGAAATATCCACATGCTCATATGTGGGGTGACTAGTAAACTTGTAGCCAAAACATTTGAAAACCCCTTTGGGAGGCCTTGCCTTTGGAGAGTCCATGCATGGAGAGTACATACATGCCATCAACCTAATCTGTGTCCCTTGGATATGTTCCAGAGATCATCTTCTGCTTCCTTGGCTATCTGTAATTAACAGGTAGTACCACACCAACTGAGGAAAACACAAAATTTCCTCCTCTTTGTTATGGCTCTGTAAAAGTATTATCTAATTATATCCTGGAAGTTGCTGTACAGATCTTCATAAACTTTTATTAACTTCCTATTGTAGATGGCATCTAACCCATCAAGATTTAGCACAATATTGTTACTTTGTAAGGAGTATTTTGTAGTATTAAGTTCCCCGGTTTTGGTCTGCACCAAGGGGAAAGGGCCTGACTGCAGGAGACAGGAGTTTGTTCTGTATTGCACTTCTTTGTTATACCTGATATGGAATCCAAGATAGGTGGTTTTTTTCCTTCTTCTTGCCTTTGCTTATGTAATCTCTAGTAAGAATTTTTCACCAGACCCCAAAACTACCATTGAAGACATTATAGTTTTTTTGGGCAGTAATTAAACCTGTGGTTCCCATGGGAGGGGGCTTCAGCCATTGCCAGTATAATATTCAGCTGGATAACAGGCTTGTTGGAATTTTTCACAGCCCAATGCAACATATTAGATTTTCTCGATTGGTGGATGTTTTTTTAAATTTTAAGAGAGTCATTGCAACTGAAGATTTTCATGCAGAAATGCCAACTAAGTAAAAGTTTCATTACAGACCTTTTTATGATTGGAGTGAAAAAGTATTTGTGTTGCCTTAAACCAGACAATAGCTTGCCAGCCAAGGCTTTCATTCAGAAAATGGCATATTCTGGTTACTTCATGCTCTTCTTGGTCCAGAGTAGTGATTTGAGTCTGATATTTTGTCTCCACTTCCCCTGTAATTCAGGTGTTTGCTATAACCACTGCCATCTGCATAGAGAACGCATAAATAGAGCTAGTAGGTGTTAGGAGAGATCTGTGTGAAATTAGCTGCAGGCTGAACATCAGCTCATTTCCATGGAAGTGAGAAAATGTGAAAGATGCAGCACCTGCACCTCTGATAAGACTTCTGGCCTTCTGTCTCAGGAGACGAGGGGAGTGGGTTTTTACTGTATTAAAAACTTTAATTTAAACAAAACAAAAAAAAGATTATCACCTTGGTGTAGAGTAGCGGGAGAAAAGTAATCCCTAAAATCATAAGAGAACGAGAGTAATATTTTTTTTTTTTGGTGGTGGTTTTGGTTTTAGCCCTCGTAATCTATTAGGCTTCCTCTCAATCTAGATTTACTATCTTTTCATTTCTGCTGGAGGCTATAGCATGCCATTGCACTCCTGCATGGAGTAATCTTATGATTCATAGCCCCTCTTCCCTTTCCCTTAATGGCCTTTATTTCTTCCCCTGGAGGTTTGTTGCCCCTGAATTCCCGGCTGGCTGCCCTGAACAGAACAATAGAAAGTGGAAAGTTTGATCTGCTAGTCACAGTCATTAGCCAAAGTTTCCAAAGCTACTGTGCAGAAGCAAACTGTATAGGCTTGCAGAGCCTGCAAAGGTAATTAGTGTGCCACTGGGATCCTTTTACACTGTGTTGAGCTTGCTAGTTGAGCTTGGATTTATGGCCTGCCTAAGGGAAATTGTAAATAACAGTTCTGAATGCTTTGGGAATGGGAAGAGCACCAAAGTGCTGTCTTATTTAAAACACAGGGCTGCCAAGGTTGAGTTGCCTTCACCATTCAAACCACACTCCTCTTTATAACCTAGGACTGTTTTCCTGCCTGTCTACCTTAAGGTGCTAAGTGAGCCTGGGAACGAGCCCTGCCTTCTGTGGAGGCACAGCACTGAGCCCAAGCTGCCTGTTCTCCTCTGCAGGCTTTCCTTGATGTTGTGGTGAGCTCACTTCATGTGGCCTCCAAGTACAGCCTCTTGCCTGGAGCTGCTCGGGGCTCGTCTAAAGAAACCACTTCTGCATGTTGATTTATTAAACTGAAAAGCTTTTCTGCAGCTGCTGCAGTTTTTTTGGAAAAGGTGTTTCGGGTGAAATTTCTAGTGAAGCTGCATCAAGAGACAGGTTTTGATCAGTTGGTCATGCTTGGTGTAAAGGAGGGAACCAGAGGAGCAATGAGTCTCGGGCTTTCTCCTCCTGGGTGCTGTGGGTCCTTACATCATCTAGGAAAATGAAAGGCAGCAAATCCTTTTCCACTGAACAACCACACACAGCTTTGAAAGGCTTTTGTTTCATGCTGATGTGGAACATGAGGAGCTTCTGTCTTCCAGAAGTGGTTTCCTGCCTGGTACCAATCTTCAGTGGATTCCTGTGCTCCTCATCAGCTGTCACACATCTTGTGTAGTGAGGCACCAGCAAGCTCCCAAGAAAGCTTTGCTCCTGGAGGATAAAATAGTTCCCAATACACCACACCAAGCAGTCATCTAATGCACGGAGCTAGACCTGCCTGTTGTGATATGTCGGTGAGGTCCCCTGCAATATTTGCTGAGCAGATTTCTGCAGAAACGGGCCACCCCTCATTGGAGGAGTGTGCTGGGACCAGCAGCAAACTCTCCTGGAGAGAGAAATGCTGAAGGGGTGCTAAGGAGCACTGGTCACAGTGGTTGGAAGGGGATGTATGGCCTGCCCAGCAGTTAAATGCAGAAAAGAGTGCAGACTGGGGGGCTGGAGGGGACAGCCTGAGGGTGCCTTTTGTTCTGGTATTTGTTGGCTGCATGACATCCAGAGAGGAAGGATGGGCATTCTGTACCTCCTAGCTCAGCACAGCTGGATGCACAGCACCATAACCTGCTGCTGAGCTGAAGAAGAGGAGTTTGAGTTTAGCCATTGGGGGGGAAAGCCCTAAGCTGATCCTGAGAGGAGTTTTCCTTTGGACAGGCTGAGAGGGAGGGGAAGAGGTGAGGGAGCCCTAAGCAGGGACACATACCTGAGTAACGCCTCTGCTGGTGTCTGCTGGACTCCTGTAGCAGGTGAGTCATGCCACTTACTGCAAATAGCTCTGCTTACTGGTGGGACAAAGTACACTAGGGAAATGTGGAAGTCACGGGAGAAAGCAAATCTGATAATCTTGAGGGTGGGGAGGGTGTTGCTTCTGGATCACTTTAGTCTCACTGGGTCATTGCCTTGGCCCTGACAGCAGGGCAGCCTTTTCCTGTATCCTTGTGGAGAAGGGCATATACTGCAGCTGACTCAGCACAGATCCCTTCCTTAGGGCTCGCTGGCATGAGCTGATGCAAAAGGCCTCATGGCTGAGGGCAGGAGTTCCCCCCTCCCTGTTCCATTCATGCCCTCTCCTCTCGCTGCTGCCCAAGTCAGGATGGACCCAATGTCTTCCTGAGCCCTCTGCCAGGCAAGACTCCCATCTTTCCTATGGAGAAGACCATGTGTGCTGTTGTAAGTGGTACGTGCCCTCTGATCTTGTCCCTGCTTCCTTTGGGAGATCTTCTGCTGGGCACAGTGTCTCTTGTGCTGCCTAAGCCTGGGGGATAGCGCTGGAATGTGGGCTCACACTGGGCAGGGCCTTTAAATGAGTGAAGGGAAGCAAGAGTTTCCCTAGAGCTGTTCACATCCTGTGCTATATCTGTTTCCTTGCCAGCATCCCTGCTTTTGTCACTTTCTGGAGTTGAAGCTAGGATGATGATATTAATTAAACTATTTAAGGGAGAGGAGAGGAAGAGATACATTTTTCTGGCAACTGCTACTGACAGGTTTAAAGAGCCTCCCATTAAAGTGCTATGTGCTATCACTAATGACTGTACCTGAGCTCAGCCATGGTGTGGATTTGCACACAATTGCAGGCTGTTCAGCAGTTTCATGGGTGACTGAACTACAGATTATGCTGCAAAATTAGAATGTCTAGACTTGAATGAACCAGTAAAAAAGCTCTGGAAATAGCTTTGCTGGAAAGGAGACGACATCTCAGGTTGGAGCGAGGAAGCAGGGGTGTCCCTCGATTGCATAGTAGCAGAATGAGTGAGCATGTTGCTTCTCTTTCACTGTTGGGAGAAAAAAAGTTAGAAACACTGTTGAAAATCATAGGTGTTTCAAAAGCCTGGAGAAGCTTGGCAAAGGCTTTCAGGCTGGTTAAGATGTCCAGCTGTGATGTATCTTTCTCATTTATAGCTAGGTCAGTCTAACCTGTTACTCCTGTAAGTTAAACAGGCAATGATCTGAGAGGCTAAACATGGCTTCTTAAGACTTTTTTTTTTTTAACATTTATCCTGGAAAGCTAGAGGGTTGTACTAGAAAGTTTTCTTTAGGCTGAAGAATGAGCAAGTGCCACAATGGAGCATGGAAGCCTCTGGGTGTTGGGCTGTAGTGATGTCAGATTTGTAAAATAATTTTGCTTCCAGTCAGGTG